GAGTGTCTGGGGTCAGATTCAAGAAGAAATGTGTGTGCATACGCACAAAATTGAATCCGGCCCCTGTGATGTAAATATTACTAGTCTAACCCACGTGTTTTCATGTATTTAAATCTATTGCATATATCAGCGAGTCTGTGCACATTGGTTGTGGTTGGGTGATAAAAGTTAATGCATGAAGAAGTTCTTATCTATTTCTATAGTTCATATGACTGTTTTTAAAACTCGGACCATTGAAATGGCAACACTGGTTCTCTGCAGTCAACACTGTGGAGTGGCAGCATTACTATTTTTCTTTAGTAGTTAGCTAATGCCCCTCCAGCAAAACTAGACCTGAGTGCAAATCGCTTTCACACGAGCCACCTGTGACATTTGCGTGCAGTGTATGACAATTATTGTCCTATATCAGTATATGTCATTATTTTATTTTTGATTATTTTTTGGAATGTTGTATATGTTGCATTGCAGGTCGGTGATCAGTAGCCCATCAGGTGAGCATCGCCATGGCAACCCGCACACGTAAACTGCTGGCTGCCGTGATGCTGCTACCTCTACAATCAACATGGTTGATTTTTTTTCCCTGCACACGTGAGCGAGCAATTACTTCATTGATCTTTAAGCATTAAATAGAATCAATAGAACACGTCTCAGTCGACTTTACTTGTTAATAGTTTTTGATTTGAGATCGTTCGAATGCAGTAGTGCAAAGACACAGATTTAAACGCGAGCACAGGAGCGTGTAACAAAGAAAAAATTTATTAATACAACTGTATAAACAGATTTATTTCACATGATAGCGACACATTTTCGTGTCAATGCAAGGTCAAAAATTCAACATCAATAAAATGTTTTAAACCACGAAAAAAGGCAAAACGCCTAGCATATATATACAATAGCAACGTGCAACTTTCCGAAAATCTGACACTTGTAATTTAAACAGTTCAGTCGGCCCACCAGTCGTCAACACTTTTGACTCGCCTCCGGCAGACGCCTCCAAACTCGCCCCGGTTGGGACTCCGCTTTCTAACGTGTGCAGTAGAAGTATCAATCAACTATACGCTATATTCCACATGTGATAAAAGACAGGAGGGGCGGTGATGGTGGTGGGAAAATGGCGGAGGCATTGCGAGCACCCTTCCCCCAATCTGACAAAACGCAGCAAGGGCGTGGTGACGTCATCGATTGCTGCTGACATTTCTCAGGGTTTGCCTGGGGAAGGGAGGGGGTGGGGACCAGCGTGTGACAACGCTTACCAGTGCGACAGGGGGTGGAAAGTAAAACTAACGACAAACGACTTATGTAACGTGTGGAAAAAAGTTTTCTAGTGGCATGACGCTAATTGGTAATCGATGCCTAATTATTTATTTACATTTGAAACTTGCGGATTGGCAAGAGTGAAATATTTACACACTAGGGAATTAAAATCTTAAAGTTAGTCAACTAGATAAAAGCTAATATTGTCTAACGCCAACAGCTTGTAGCAAAGTGTACCGGCACGATTTTTTTTCATTTTATTAACACTTTAAAAGTGGATAAGGAGAGTGTCATTACTACGTGCCAATGCCTAATATTACTCACTCCCCCTCCCCCATATACCCATAAAAATGACACCAACGTAATGGTGGATGAAAGTGCCAAATGAAAGAGAATACTACAAGAGTAAACGGCAAAATTACTTAGGGAAAAGGACGAGAGAGGGAAAACAGGGGCATTAGACCAGTAGACACACACAACGACGTAGGTCCCGTGGGGTCTCGTGACACGTCCGTCATCACGCCCTTAATTATTCCGTTCCACGAGTAATACTAAAACCAAGTAAAGGGTAGTCCTGTTTTACTATTGCAGGTCTCAGAAACTGCTTCTCTCGCAGTACCTGTGCATGCGCGCATATGTGTGGGTGCATACGTGTGCGTGCGTGCGTGCGTGTGCGTGCATGCATATGTGTGTGCATGCGTGCATACGTGTGCGTGTGTGCATGCGTGCATACGTGTGCGTGCGTGCATGTGCGTGCGTGGCTTGCGTGTGCGTGCGTGCTTGCATGTGCGTGCGTGCATGCTTGCATGTGCGTGCGTGCGTGCATGTGCGTGCGTGGCTTGTGTGTGTGTGCGTGCTCGCATGTGCGTGCGTGGCTTGCATGTGCGTGCGTGCTTGCATGTGCGTGCGTGCTCGCATGTGCGTGCGTGGCTTGTGTGTGAGATGCAGTGAGTGTGCTGATATATACACCGGTATGATCGGGGGGAGGAGCGCGTTAACTAGTACTTATTCAAGTCGACACCTCGCAGAACTCGAGAAAGCAAGATATTAAGAAGAGTTGTGCCTGCTTGCTCACCGTCGCCATCACAATCGCTGCATATATCGAAAATTTCCTAACAAGAATTCTGGCAAAAACAACTCGGAAATCTCCAGCACTAACATAGTGCGTGCGCGCGGCAGGCAGCGACTGATCTCTCCACCCTGACGCTCGGGTGGAACACTGACCACGCCTCATATTTGGCATCCGTTAAGACTCGGTGGGAACGGACTCGAGCTATCATTAAAATTACAACGCGCAAAAGCTAGTCTACGAGTAAACCTACGCCATCTTACCTAGAATTCCTGATTTGGCATTTGAAGAGATCGTTCCTGTTAAACATCCCCACATTTCATCAACACACTATATCTATCAAAGTGCATAAAAACGGCACCGTCAACGAAATCCTTGACAGTGCAGTCATATTGCAATAAAAATCGGGGTAGGTGGGCGTGGCTTGGGGGTGGGGGGAAAACGTAAACACCTAAAACATAGTGCATAAATGTAGACAGTCTGCACAGAGCTTATACTCTACGGACTGTTCTGAAAGAAGAGACAATGTTGAAGCAGGGAAGCAAATGAGAGAACCAAACTTGTATCACAATTTCATTTCATTCATTCACATGATAAACCTGAACAATATATACTTCAAATATTTCCTGGCAATGGCTAGTAACGCCTAGTAACACCGCATCTTATTCCTTAGTAACGACGATGCCTAGTAACGCCTAGTAACACCGCATCTTATTCCTCAGGAGAAGGTAGAGGAGGAACTAAAGGAAGACATCGAGAGCAGACACGGGGAGAAACGGACCAACGAGATATGTCAGGATCATACCAAAGAAGGAGACGTTACAAACGAGAAGGAGCATCTAGTGGGGGCGACAAACACGAGCGGGGAACAGACCGATGTGGAGACCTCTTCTCGAAGGAGGGAGAAGCCTACCCTCGCACCTAGCACTGCATGGAAGAAGCTAACCGCAGGAAGAACGCAGGAATACGAGAGCATTCCCGACGGTGGCGCCATCACGGACGAGCAGGCAGATGTCGTCGACGAAACCGGCGAGATATTCCACACGTTTTACTCGCATCGCAATCACGCAGCGCCACCTGGTGGCTTCGACAGCGACGACGACGATGACGTCATAGTGGAGAGCGAAGACGAGTGCTAGCAAGTCGACAGTGGTGCCACCTGTGTTTTGCTGCGAGTTCTGGTGCGCTGTGTACATACCTTTGGCGGCCAATCGGTGATTGGACGAGTGTGCTGTGATTGTGTATACTAGTTAATGAAAGCTCGTTAATAAATCTTATTTTATTATATTTCGTCGCATTCAACAATTTATTTCAATTTTAGTAAATAAACAAACTTGTTTATACAAAATTGCCGCCTGACAAGTGTTATAAGTGAGCAGAAATTATTTTAATAATAGATGCAAAGTAAAGAAAAATGTGCAGCGTAGGGTTAGTCACGTATATGTGCATGTGTGTGTGTGTGTGTGCGCGCATGTGTGTGTACATATCACAGATAGCATATACATATCATTTATACATATAGCATAACTCCATGGCACGCTGCACGCGTGATACTGTAGTGTCTACATGCACATGATGTGATGTGCATACATATGTGTGTTCCCTGCACTATCACATCCACAGTTGTGGGACACCCACCTCTGCTCCTTCATACACATGTAGCGCAGACGCTGCTTGCCGTGTCAGCTGCCACCACAGCAGGGGCGCAAATCCAGGGGGACAGGGGGACATGCCCCCCCACGAATTTTCAGAGGGTGTACATCATATCAAATGTCCCCCCCCCCCACGATTTTGATCACCATTATTTTGTGTGTAAGTGTGCAAGTGTAGCGAAGTTTGCCGTGATTTTTATGTCATTGTTTAATAAAATAACGTGATTAAAGAGAGAAATCACTGGCAGTGACAAGTGTGTTTGTATGGTAGGTAGCATGTTAATAAAGCGACGGCTTAGGTGATTTCTTGATATTTCTATGTAAGCACGGCCGTAAATAGTGAAAGGTGTCGTGGCAATTTGGCACGACAGAATTCCACAGAGTTTTGTCTAGGAGGCCTATTGGGGCCTAAAATAACATCAGAATATAAAATTTTAGGCTACAATTATTGGTGCTAGGGCTGCATACATCCAAATCCCATTGGTTGATAACAAATCAGGCCTGAAACTCCGTTTTAATAATTCCTTTTATGGTTGCATTTCTTGACCACTACACGCCTAATTCCTAATTCTAACGCCTAACCATAACACTACTTAGAAATTAATTCCAAAATTAACTAATTTGTATCACCAATGGGAGTTGGGAGGTAGCACAGGCACTGAGGCCTGCATACTACGCTCCCACAGGGCACTTGAACGCGTTTCAACTGTAAACACGACGCCGCCGCCAATTGCGCGCGACACTGACCCATACATATATAGGCAGGTGAGAAACAACGATCCCAAAAATTCGCGTCTGACGCTCGCATGCATTTCTCACTGATTTTAACACAAATACACATTCCAACAGCTCCATCCTTTTGGTTCTCCTTCCAAGAACAGTGTCACTTGTTAATAAAATCATAATGTCTCTGTTTCGTAAGCGGAGCCTGTGTCACCGCGAAATCCACAAAGACTGACGAAGATTCTCGCGTTCGCTTAGCCACTGCGCACGGATGTAACGAATTTCGGCCCAAGTTAAAGTGCGGCCGAAAGTTCGTTTACATCCGTGCGCAGTTCCGCAGCTTTTCTCACGCTGCTATATATTTATGCTGTCAGTGTGGCGCGGCAATGGCGGCGTGGTGTTACAGTTGAAACGCTTAAGTGCCTGTGGGAGGTAGTATGCAGGCCCTAGCCGCGAGTGCCCGCAGGACTACTACTGTCTATTGATTTAAAGCCGAGGTACTCTTCTGCGTACTAATATTAGGTATACCTACATACTTTCTGGTCTGTTGGATAGGTAGAGCCACTAGCAGTAGCACTACGGTTGCGGGCTGAACAAATCAACATCCTCAAGTTCTCTAGCTGCCCAAACGCCGACCGCAAAAACCAAAAAAAAGCTGCCCCCCCCCTTTTTAAAAAACCCCCTTCCCCCCCTTTTTTCCCCCCACAACCGACCTGAAAAATTGTGATGATAAGATGATTACAGATATACAATTAATTTATACATATTAATAGCATAGGGTTTAGATTACAGCGTATTAATCGGCCAAGGATAGAGAAACATGGGGCGCAATCCACTTTAGGCCCCTTAGTATCACGAAGTGTATGCAGCATGTTTCTGTGTATGTTTCATCCAAACTGATGCACAGAAACTTTGCGTATATCAAGGAATGATGCAAATCCTACCGTAACCCTAGACTCTACCCCTAACCTAAACCATTCGTGATACCTAAGGTTATACTTTATGGCTTAGGGTTAGGATTTTTGATCATTCCGCTGATATCGGCGTGCTGTGCGTCAAGTTGAATGATTCACAGAAATCTGTGCATCAAGTGATGATTCACAGAATTGCTGTGCATCACCTTCGTGATACCTTAAGGTGCCTAAGCTGATTTTGTCAGCCGAACATGGCGGTCCCAATAAAACATGACAATGTTGCTCAACCCTAATTTCTAACCGCTACACGCCTAACCTTTTTATGATATAATATATATTATATTGATGTAAAGGACATTGGTTCTTGTTGGGGACCCATGTTCCTTATCCGTTGAACCGTATAATCTACCCTTAGTCATATTATGATGATGACTATATCGCAGCTATGAGTAGACATTTATTTAGGCAAAAGCAAAGCCGCGCGTTATCGTACAATCCGCTCCTTACTGCGTAACGTGGCAGCTATTGTTACTGTTAGCCGTTAGTGTTGTGCGCGGTATACGATACCCTTATTACGAACTTCACAATATTTACTACCATTTTGAAAGGATCTGTGTAGAGATCCTGATCTGTTGTTTCTTTTCGCTGTCGCAAAAGCAGTCTCCTTGCTTTCTTGGGTCGCTGCCATTTTGGGGGGCGATTGTTGCGCACCGCTTGACTCTCTTATGGACTTATCTATTTATCTTTCAACTATATCTTTTATCGTTAACTTATTAGGTTATTATATCTCCTTATCATATTATGCTTAACCTTTTGATCCGCCCCC